TCAAGAAGCTAAAAGAGTTAACATTAACACATGACCATGTATATGTACGTCCGTCACACTGCCACCTGACCAAATGTATGCACGTCCGTCCGACACAACACATTTATATGACCATAGACTTACAGTCAATGGAATAAATAACGTGAATCGCATCGATTCACTAAGTCCATTGCCTGTAGCTCGAATGAATGTACTGTCGGTATTATTATTCATTCTGTTGTAACTCGATCTTGTTACTACAGAATTGATGCATATTTTTTGCGATGAGAACGTCCATATTTTCCACTTTAGTTTGCAGAAGCAGTTGCTTTAGCTTTTCCCCAGTCAGAAAAGTTTACCGGAATGAGTATGTGTTTCGAAGCCAACTATGTAATAGAAGTCAAGTCTATCACGCATGTATGATAACAGTAAGGATAGAATATATCTTCTTCTCATCAGTAGGAGAAAGTGTCATAGTGTTGTTAGAATAAAGAAACAAGAATTCCAAAAAGGAAAACAGCTTTTACGCATGACGTCGACTACTAACCATCAACTCCCGGAGTTGATCTTTTACTGCCGTCCGCATATCTTTTATTTTTTTTGTCTTATGCTATATAAAGTAATATTCAATATGTTTTGTGTTCATTCAACATCGACGGAGTGATGGATCACTCCGTCGATGTTGAATGAACACAAAACATATTGAATATTACTTTATATAGCATAAGACAAAAAAAATAAAAGATATACGGACGGGAAAGCTTCAATATCGATTACTTTCAAATCGAAAGAACACGTTTTTCAATTTCAATCCCTTATATTTTGCGATATGAAGTAAGAGAAAATGGCGATTTTGTAGTTCTCGAAAAGCTCTATCAACTGGCTACATCTAAGTCTCTTCATGGACTCAAGCGATCGTAGCAGGACCTTATGGAGCTACTGTTCTTAACATCTTCATACATTTCCCTGTAAATCCATGCATCCGTGCTAAACTCTACTTCTAATCAATACCTAGTGATGACGCTATGTATAAGAGATTTTAAGATTCGCTGAAGAGTGCATAAGTGCGAAGTTACATTTAGGGATGCACTGGTTACGGTTAACCGGTGAGCGGTTGTAACTGATAATTAAAATTGGTATTCTCAGAAAAGCTTTTTAATAAATAATTAAAATTCCAGCCTTGATTTTTCCTATTTCTTCTATATTTCAATAAGCGGGTTGCAGAGAGTTTGTGGTTCGTCAGACAACAAAAAACGTATCTTTCATGTACTCGAACAGAAGAGTCCCGACTTGAATCTGTTATATCTCACATTCCTCTTCGGATTTCTGAGTTCTGTTTCCAATTATTCAACGTTTTGTATTGGCAGAAGAGAAAGTTTTCTGCTTTAGCTTAAAATTTAAGCATTACTGCGCAGTCCGGAGCCGGTTTCCGAAAATTTTCAACCCCCTCCCCTTCTTAGTGGGAGAAGCCGTTACTGAGATATCAGAGTTTTTCCAACCTGTTTGTCACGGCAACAGCGTTAAAATTCTTAGAGTTGTCGAAGTACTCTGTTGATTTTTGTCACAATTTTGGATCTCCATATTATTATCCAGCCAATAAAAATGATGGAATACCCAACTGGCTTTTGGCTGTAAGAGTCATCGTCGTGTGGCTACGTACCATTAAGTCTGAACTCAGGATAGTTTTGAAAAGCAAGAGTTTGCACTACAAAACTAAGCCATGAATGAGAACTGCAATTTATGCCATTATAACTTCCATTCTTACTTGACTTGTGCATTCATCCATGCCTGTTCTACTGTCCTCTAAGGTTAATATTAACGTACGCAGATTTGAATAGACTGTGTTTACAGGGCGCCTCGATAAAGGCGGGAAGGAGGGATCCCCCTGGTTTTTGAAAAAGTTTAGTCAGAAATCAGAATTTTCTTACTCCGAAAATTAAGTCTTTGACTTCCATGGCGTAAAGCGTTTACTCGTATTTTCAGAGTAAGACAATTACTCTCAATTTTAGAGTATAAAAGGCTTACTCTCAGTTTCGGAGTAAAGCCCTTAGTCCCATTTTCAGGGTAAGGCGTTTACTCACAATTTTGGAGTACGATATTTATTCCCATTTTGAGAGTAAAAGGGTTACTCTCAGTATCATTGTTAAGAATTTGGGTCTATAGACTAATGTTCAAGAGAAAAATATTAAACGACTAGTATTAAATATCAATTAAATATTTTTCCATCTTATCTAAATATTAGTCCGTTCAATATTTTTCTTTACTTAAATATTTTTCCTTTATTTTAAAATAATTAAATATTTTTCTGTCCGACCCAAAACTGCTCTAATATTAGTGTCATCACCAGCTTCAATATTTGTTTTTTTTTCTGAAAAATAATTAAGTATTTTTCTATCTTACAACAAGAAAAATATTTAAATAACATAGAAAAATATTTAATTGGTTTTTAATATTATTCGTTTAATATTTTTCTTTTTAACATTTTTCGGCATACCCAAAAGTTTACTCTCTTTTCAAAAGTAAGATATTTACTTCAATTTTTAGAGTAAAGCATTTTTTTTTCTCTTTCTGTGTTTGATATCAAATAAACTTTCAGTCATGTACATAAATAAGATAAGATAAGTAGAACAGACTGTACCACGGCTTCAGTAAATGTATTTTTATATTATAAGGCTAACAACGTCGAAACAAAAAAAGGAAAGTGAAAAAACTTTTGTTCGCGTTTTGTATTCATTTTGTTTTAATTTAATTGTACCGTGAGTCTGCTTGGAAAAGTTACAAGAAAATATTTTTGAAGTAAATAGAGTTAGATAGAAGAAAATTTAGTCTTGTTTTAGAAGAAAACTGCTTAAAATATTTATCTTTTTCTTTTAGTTTTACTCCAATTTTTAAAAGCATAAAAATTGACTCCGTCCTCCTCCCCTACCTCTGAGATATTGGGACGCCTCTGGGCGTTTATCAGTTGCTAGAGCAAGTTCTGTAGATGGACATTAAAAACTTTAGGTTCTTTACATATGTGTAGATGACTTATTGGGGATGTTTTGTATATTTTGATTGCGTAGTGCTCATCGGTAGCTTATCTCGTTTTACACTTGAGTCTTATCAAAAACGTCAGTTATGTTTAATTTAAATTTTCATCCAGTGAACATTCTTAGGACGAACCCTAATTTTGTACTTTGAGCATGACCTTAACGGTTAGAAACACTTCGATTGAAAATGATAATTAGGCTTGAGCTCCACTATGGCGTTCATTTTCGTTAAATTTAGTTCTATCGTTGTACATCTTTTAAGGTAGCGAACGGCGACAAAGTACTTGACAGGACTTTTTTGTATTAAAACTGAAGTTCATTCACAAGTCGAGTCCAGAGGCAAATGAGCGCATTCAGAACATTCCACCAACATGCCCAGAAAGCTGATTCAAAGGCCTTTGAATCTGAGGATACTTCTGCGCGCGTCAGTTGATCTAAACTTTATTTACAGAAGCTGTACGAGATGTAAGACATGCAATGAAGATGTATAGAAAAGTAGAAAATGCTATTTTTAAATAAAAATTAAATAAGTTTTTGGTTTCCTGCAAGCGCGAATTATCCATGAGGTCCTGGCGACTATTTAACGTTAACAGTAATATAATATAACAACACATTAGGGATTAATGTTAAATGTAACGTATTATCAAGCGTCGATAAACCTCATAATCCGTTTTGACAGTATACATTCGGAAAAAAATATGTACCAATTTTTTTAAGCAATTTTCGCATAGTGCTGAATCTGAAAGTCACTTTGCACTTAACGATCGGTAAATGGCAAGTTATATCAAGCGAATTATAGAAAAAAAGGAAACGTATTAAGGACAGTTGAACGAGATAAACATTTTTCTTGTTCTACAACAGGAATTCTAGATCTCTAATGTTGGCAAAAAATTTCTGATTTTTGAACGTTTTTCTGCCTCTTTTCTGATCTTTCGAGTTTTGGAGTTTTTTTCTGATTTGATATGGATTTGAACTGAAGTTTGGCTCATAGCGCATGTATTGTATCACATTCATATCGCTTTCTCTTCTGGTAGTAGGCATTGGACAATAATATCTCAGTAGTTCATTATAAGTCTTCCTTGTATAGATCCTTATCTCAGAAACTGCTCATTCTTCGGTCGATTACAGTAGTCTGCGAGCTTAGACGTACTTTGCACATACGAACGCTCGAGAACTGGGAAAAATTCTGAAGTTTTCTGTACTTTGTTTCTACTCATAGAACTTACGAGAAAGGAACATCTCCCAGGATGGGAAGAATCGGTGTGTTTTACAGTTATCCGATATTTATTATCTGAAAAGGTATAATTAATTATCGGAGCACCAAAACATTCGTATTCTGATTTTGAACTCATTTTTTCTGATTTTTATCTTATGGATCTGGGTCCCTGTTCTATAATATAGAATGAATAATTATTGTATGTCTTTGTCATGGTTCATCGCACATTCTTTTAGACTCATCTATAGGCATGCGTTGTTCATCTACCCAATGTAGAATGAATTTTGATAATCCTGAACAATTACGGTTAGCCATACGTAACGGCAAGTTTCAATCAACCACGAGTGGTCAGTGGATCGGTTACGTCCAGGCAAACATGGTTATTTTGCCATAGCACGTTGCTGAAGATTTTACTGAATTCTGCAGATTAAATCCGAAGTCATGCCCACTCATTGAAAAGCTTCCCGAAGGCTCATTCTTACCTGAGATTGATTACTACCCATTCATCATGTGATATTCGAACAGATTTATCTGGATATCGTGTCTATCGTCACGGTAAGCTCATAGAAACAGTGACCGATATTCGAGAATTCTGGCAGTCCGACTTGGTTACATTTCTTATCGGTTGTTCATTCTCATTTGAACACGTTCTTCAACAAAATGGTATCAAAATAAAAAATATCGAAGAGAACAAAAATGTGTCCATGTACATTTGTCACAATCTCAAATGTGAACTTGTTGCACCTCATTTCACTGACATCAATTTGGTTGTGAGCATGAGACCGATCAAACGAGAACAAGTGGAACTAGTGAAAGAGTTGACAAGAAAATTCATTCATACGCATGGAGAACCAATCTACTGTGGTCTCGATTGTCATCAAATACTGGGTGTGAATAATGATTTAGAAAAAGTGGATTTTGGTGATTCTGTAACGATTAACGTCCAAGATGAAATACTGTACTTTTGGCATTTTGGTGTGACGGCTATTCAGGCGGCGATCAATGCGAAAACAGATGTGTGTATCACACATGCGCCGGGACACATGTTCGTCACTGACGTAAAAGATGATTTACCGACTGTAAATTAAATGTAATTTCACCAGAATGAAATTCAATTTTTTGTATAGCGTGATGATCTACGACTAGATACATCAGGAAACAATTTATCCTTATTTTTCTTCACTTATGCTCATTCGAGGAAGATACTGTTTAAAATGGAAAATCATGGGAAAGAACTTTGATAGAATGCGCTCTACCCCTTCTTTTGTATACTCGAGGAACGAATATGTTTCGGTCTCTTTCGTCAGTGAGTTACAATTTAACTGTCTTTGTATGAAAATATTTTTAAATGATACAGTCACAAAGCAAAGCTATTTGGTTGTTACAATTAAGGAAAAGTACTTCAAAACACAAATTTGGGCATTTTTTCAAATAAGTCTGATGGATCGATATTTCCGTGAACAGGATTTCTCCTCTTCCGCGAATTATCGGAAATAAAAGTTAAAACTTCCCAGTTCCTATTATGTTTTGGTACTAATGCGACATGAAGTGAATTATACAATAGATACAACAAAAGAATCATGAAAATTCAAATGATAGTATTGGAATTACATTTATA